GAAAAGTGGCAATTCTTTTATAACTGCCATAGTCCCGTGAGGTTGTCCATGCTCAGAAAAGATCCCAATCTATCAATTATTCTGATTCTGAGTGCTGTAAAGCTTCTTATTTTCCATTTTTGCCTTGGGCAAATTCTGCTGTCTGCAGCCTGCTTAAAATTATTGTTTAGAACGTACAAAATTATTTTTCCAGCAATTAGCATATCTTTCCTTAGGTTTCTTTATTTACAGGGAAAAAATAAGTCATGAACCTCTGCGCTATTTAGATAAAATTATCCTCAGTTTTGATTTATTTTAAAGATGAAAATAGATCTAGATATTATTAAGAGCCAGGGGTTTATCAAGACCTTCTTTTCTATATGTGTGTCATGTTGTAACTTTCCAGCTGTGTTTGGACTGTACCACAGCACAATATGTTCTCCCAGTTCTCTGTTAACATCTATTAATTAACTATTACCTTTCTTTCTCCAGATAAAAAAGACAACGTAGGTGTCTTTTTTAAACACTCCTGAGGTCATTTTGTTTTGAATATAAAATACTCAAGTCCTTTTTGTAGGATTGAAAATGTGTGAACAAATGCCAAACATTTTACAGCATAGTGAGTGCTGTTTCCGACTCAGCAGCAGCAGAAGACTTTTTTTTTAATGAAATCTGATCATATATCCAGTGAGCAATGTAAAAGCACTGATGTTCAATTTGAGGAAAACTGGATACTGTCCTGGAAACATTCGCCTTTCTGGACTTAAAATTACTCATTATACCACAGATTCATTCCACCAGACTCACGTTCAGTAATTGAGCAGTCTGCCATACTGTAGTAATTTTAAATGCTCTTAAATGTTGATGAATGCACCAGAAAATCTAGGGCATTTCAAGAAACCTAAAGTATGTTCTCTGGAGGGTAAAACATCATACAAACCCAATGACTGTTTGACTGCGTAGTGAGATTTTTAATCTGTTGCAAATTACTGAAGTCGAGGGAGTTACGTTACACTGTGAATCTGGCTTATGCTTTTTTTCTTTACTATGTATTTAAGAACTTAGCAAATAAGAATGAAAATGTAACCATGAAAAGAGATGATGCTGAGTTTCTTACAACCTTGTAAACCCCTTTGTAGAGTAAAGATATTACAATGCTGTTGTCAAACTTCATCAGTTCCCAGTTTTACATGCATCAATCATTTTTCTTGTATCAGGGGCAACATCCTGCTTGCTTTACAAATGCAAGAACTGCTTTGTGATTCGTTTCACGTAAATAGTGAAAATTTGATCTGGCTTTTCACAGACAGAATGTTCGTGCTGTCCTTATTTCCTTAAGAGCTATTCGCCCAAATAGCCTGAATAGTGTAAAGACAGGGTTCACAATTTATTCTCAATATTTATTCCTTCTTTAACTAGTATGTTTCAATTAAGAATAAACAACAAGAGAATACAGCAATGCAGCCTTTATGAACAAACCTACAGGAAGTAAACAGGTTTAAATGCATGTAAAGTAGACAAGTAATTATAGTAAGCAGATGTTAGTTGCAGGTTTTTTATGGTAGGGATAAAAATGTTCAAACAATAAAAACTGCTCTGACCATGTTATTTTACCTGGGTAGATTGTGCTTCACTGCATTTCCTTCCTCTGCTTAGTCACTGTGAAAATGAAATTCCACTGAATTTGAAAAGTTGGCATTTGACCTGATGTTGATTTAAGCTTCTAGAAGCTCACATCAGCACAAGGTCACTGACAGACAAAGTCAGTGAATCTAAAAATGGTGCAGAAAAAAGAGATTAGACTTTACTTGGGTTCAGATTATTTAAACAAACAGACAAGAATTTAGGGAAAACAAAATTGTGTTTCTCATCTGATGGGTCAAATCACTTTATTAAATGATACAATTTACATCTCTGGCATGCACTCAAGTAAAGTGTCCTTTGCAGTGAGCAAAAAGTCTTTAGAAGTGAAAAGCCTTTTATAAAGATAATACAGTCTTTTGCTACTAGGCAGAAATGCAATATGAATAGATACATGGTTGTGTTAAAGCAAACCAAAATGAATACAAATTATGAACAAGAGTTGTGAACATCATCTAAAATAACTAAAGAAACTAAATTTTCAGTTATATTGCGTATTCAAATACTCTGCATATTAACAGAGACACCTCTGAGAGTGAACACAAGAACAACATATTTAAAATATAAGAGACTTTTTTCCTCACATTTACTGAGCAGATCTGTGCATTCAGAAACAAATGTAAGAAATACTTGCATTAATATATTCAGAACTCATGCACAACAGTCACAACTACTTGATACAAAGGTGCTTTGCCAGTGGAGGAATGGTGTGAAGAACAGGAAGTGAAAAATGCCATGTGGTTCTTCATAAAGCTCTGTATGCATTAATATTTCATTTAGTAGTCTGGGCCCACTGCTTCCATTGAAATCAGTACATTGTCTCAATCTCGTTTTAGCCTGATTTCCTCTGTAAACAAGGCTATGTGATCTGTCTGCATGCCTCTGTGTATGTCTGTCCTCCCATTAATAACTTTGCAAATGTTTGTTTCATTTCTGTGTGGCAGTGGAATAGATCTCAAAGACAATCCATTGCCCACAGACTTTGTAAAAATATATGGCTGGCTGGAGGACAGATGCGCTTACCAGTGGTACTATTGAGAGAAGTGCTGCAGTGTGAACTCATTCCTTATTAGTAACGCGAGAATTCATATGGGAATGTTAAACACCCAGGTTGATCCATAAGATACAAAGCCACACAAAACTCAGCATCAGTAATTCTCATGTTCACGGAAGTGCTTAATTCCTTCTTGTGACTAGAAGAAGATGATAAGGCTGCACTTTGTTTTTCTTGGGAAATTGACAGAAAGTCAGTGATTCTGTCTGAAACTCTCTGATTCTACTTTCTTTCATGTTTGTTGCATTGCATTTGGGGAGGGGGAGTTAGAGCTTGATCAGTCAGTTGATTCTGAGAATTAAAATAATTTAATTGGGTAAAAATATGCCTTACTGCAAACTCTTTGATCTGGTTTCCTGTTTAACAGTGTAAAGGATGCAGTTCAAAACAGAAACCTGAACTTGACTTGGATACAGGGAATCATTTTGTTCTGGTAATATGGACCACAGTTCAGCAAGGTATGTAAGCATTATGTGATTTTCAGAATGTAGACCTTCTGTGAAATACACATGCACTAGTATTTATTGAATAGTTAAGGCCTTGATGACTTCAAATTATAAATTTCACTGAATTTCACTTTGAATTATAATTTCACTGAAATTAAGTGAAAACTTGACATGTACTTCCAGAGAGAAAGGCCTGAATCTGAAGACAAGCCCTTAAGGATAATGGGACTACCATAGTCCCATTGGTTTCAGTGGGGATATTCCCAGTCATGATAAAAGGGGACATTATGGGACTCTGCAGAGAAAAATGGATTTTTGCCTGTGTGGCAGCAAAATTTACCTGATTATGTGCGTGTATGACTGAGGTGCAAAACTCACTTTCAGGCATAAGATAGCAGCCTTGTTAATGTAATTTTTCTAAATAATCTTTTCTTTGCAAATTCATATTTTGTGAAATAAATTTGTAAGGTGCTGTAGCAATATGATCCTAGTTTTAAAGGTTTACAACTCCTATGTCTTCATTTCCTGCTTGGTCAAAAGGATAGGTTGATTTCAGGGAGACTTCTGTTTGACTAGAGAATTACTGCCAACTGAAACTCATTAAGGGAATATTTTTCTTGTAATTATTTGCTCTTATGGGAAGTTCCAGCTCAACTGTACTTGGGTTTAATTTTCCTCTTTCCTTTATACCATTATATTTTATAATTGCTATCATGAAAATTATTTGTAGATGGCAATGTTTTGTGATATATTCTTTCTTACTGCATGTATGTTTTCATTCTTTCTATTCTAATCGCTTTACAGTTGACAACCTTACTGAAACTAAGGATAGTTAACAGTGCTTCTGCAGTAATTTCAGTAGACTGTGCTTGAAGAATGCCCCACAAAATGAGGATGCAGAGCACTTATTAAAACTTGGGGTATTCATTTAATGCTTTAACATCATCTAAACTACCAAATAAGCTTGGAATACATGTATTTTTAGCCACATATTTCTATCGTTTAAATAAGCTGTAAATGCAAGATATGTGTCAGCAGCAAAAATTATTTACCATCTCTTCAGATCCATCAAGATAGTTTAATTGTAACCAACCGTCCAAATATTCATTACTTGTACTAGACTCATACCGTGTAACACATGTCATAAACCCTCTTTCACATACCAATTTCTATGTAGAACAGGTATTGTTCTTGATAAACAACTTAACTATGTCTTCCAAATCAAGAATACAAATCAAAAGCTTTCTAAACATTGAGCTACCTAGATACTAAGAATAACTGCCCAGCCACTCAGATTACCAAACACTGTAGCAGTAAATGCTCAGCAAGTAGTGCATTTCACAGAGAAATAAAGGCTGTTCAGCCCCAGATTTGTTTGATAGTTTATTACAAAAGTAACTTGCAATCCAGTTTAAATACACTCTAAATACTTTCCTCATCCTTTTTATTGTTCAAGTATCATGGTACTGATCTCTCTTAACAACACCTTTTTTCCTGTTGTGTTCAGACCATTTGATTAATTAAAATATGTAAAACTTGATCAATACTGTCTTGAAATCCAATTGAAATGGATGACTGCGTAAGATTGCAGATATCTACATGTTACAGGGATTCAGGTACCGTGACCACAGATGTATTTTAACTGTTGCCACAGTAAAAATATGCATTGATTTACTTCCTTAGCTCGTTTTAAAAATGCAGTAAAGAAAACATATGGCAAATAAGCCAGTGCTTCTAAGTATTCCACCTCCATTGGAACTTTCCCAAGTCTGGTTATATCTAGTACCTTGGAACTCCAACGTCAAACTTACCCAGAAAACCTACAAGATCCTGTAAAATACTTCTTGCCTTTAAAATGCCCTTATTTTACTTTTTTTTTTCACATTAACTTAACTGCAAGCACTTGTACTGTCTTCATCTGCATCTGTTCTAGATTTTTGTATCGAGCACATTGGTTGCCCCACTTTCATCCCACCCCTCACCCCAAGAAATGTGTATTTTTTCCTTTTCACGAACAGAACAATCTTAGCTTAGGCGCAAAACTGAGTCTATTCTAGAGGCTGCTAGCCCTGCAGTCATGTGAAAACTGTGCTCCATTCAATTTTGCCTCTTTTCTTTAGTTCAGAGATGGTCAGGCCGGCAAGAAACTTTCCTTCTCCAACTGAAATCTAAGGCTTGTAAAGCTGGAAGAAGGGAAAACATGCCAGGCCCTTCAGCTGCTCATGTTGGACGCCTCCATCCCCTTGGCTGTGGATTATAGTTTGAATCAGCTGTTGACAAGCAATAGTCAGACCTGGAATCCATGGACATTATATCAGGATCTGTTCTGGACCGTTGACTGCAGTAAGCATACTGCAGCTGAGAGCCAGCCTGCGTGGTGGCACTTGGGGCAGAGAGGGAGCTTTTAGGGGGTGATAGAACACCCGATTGCTTCCCTCCTAATAAGGCTACACTAGCACTTGGGGCTGGAGGCTCACAAGAAACTTTTTGTTTCCATTCATCTGGTGGCTCAGGAAGTGTTTTCCTGCGAGCAGCTGACACTACGTTAGCAGCAATGGATTCCTGCATGTTTTGGGGCCCAAAAGCTTCATCCACTAGGCCAAGAGGGGATCTTGCTGCTGCTTCCCAGGGCGTCAGTCTCTTGCCAGGCCTGTCGGCTGCTGTCTCTGGCTTGCTGAAGTAATCAGGGGCAGGCTGAAATATAAGAGGAGAAGTAGGAGACATGGCTCGAGAAATGAATGAAGAAGGTCTCCCAGGAAGTGATAATGAGCGTCCACTGCTTCTTTCCTAGGAAAACAAAATACCAAGTACAGTTATTAAACAACAAAAAAGGGAGCCCCTTCACTTCTAAACTGGAACAACAGATCCTGAAAGCACATGACATCCTGGCAATCCATTTTTATGTCTGTGGGTACTTTTTAATACTTCAGTTTAGTGGAAAGGGAGAAGGTATTTAAAAGGAGGCAGAGAAAGAAATAGGAACAAAGAGCAAATTGAATTTCTGAGGAAAGTAAATAGACCAAAGACAGCCTTTTACTGAAAAAGTACAATTATGTTAGCAACTGTGCAGCTTTTCCACCACTTAGCTAGTGTGCCTCGTTCTGAAAAGACGTTCTTAATAATGAAAAAGGAAGTCATGTTGTGACGGTTCTGTGTGTGTTTACAGGATTTTTTCTTATGTGCAGGCACAGCCAAATTTATTTGATAACAGGCTCTGTCTAGGATATTTGTCTGAGAACATATCTTTGGCAATCTCCTTTTAAGAAAGGCATTTCTTACTCTAAAATGATTGGGCTTATCCTAGTTTTCACTTTGCAGAGCACAAAAATGAACTAAAGACATTAATGCAATCATTCGGTTAATACCCTTACATGACGCTACTTAACCTGGCTTCTTTAAAAGGCAATGCCCTCAAAATTTTGGTACATTCTGACCTATTTATAGGAGCAATCCATTCATATTTGACAAATCCTAATCTTCTTAGTAATACAGCACTTAGAAACTCTGTTCGTGAGAAGGTTCTGCTGCAACAGTCATTTGGCAGCGTACGAAACAGGTACAGTATTTTCCCCAGACATGTTTGTGTTATACAGATAAATTACGTTGTTCTTACTGAGTAATCTCTTTACATGTGGTTCCTAAACGCATTGATTTACACCCATTGATTCATATCCTGAGGTTTAAATGCATTTAACTCTGAAATCTAGTGTGAAATTCCAGGCTCCTTTGCCAGAGGCTTTACTAGAATTTCATTCAAACAACACTGACCTGTGTTACTTTTCCTAATTAGCTTCCAGAACTTAAAATACTGTGAGCATGATCTAGATACCAGCCAATACGTATCTGATCATACAAGATATAGCTTAGCTAGCAGATTCACATAGAAATGTCATGTTTTATAGGCTTTTCTGTTGCAGGATCTTGACGTGTTTAAGAAACTTGAAAGACCTCTGCTTTGCACAGGCTTTTAAGTTGTGTTTTAATATCAGCCTTGTACATAAGATGGAAACTGAAGAAGAGATTACTGATTTCATCATTTTCTGTCAGTTTCGTGGTGCTCAGTCTGAATCTCTTAAAAGTGTAGAGTGACACACAGAGGTTATGTAATGAGAGTTTTGACAAGTTTCACAACTAGTGCTTTGTAACAGAACTATCCTTTCACCTCTTAGCTATGACCAGCTATTCCTAGTTTGCAGTTCCAGAGAGGAAACTCCCCAACATTATTAATCCTAACCCCACATACTTATGGCAAATTATCATGAGGTTCTACGTCCATCCAGAAAAAAATACTTAATTTCAGGCAACTTCACTCAGTTAATTTTTAAGAATCCTTACTTAAACCTTGAGATGATCAAACATTAAAATGTGACTGATCAGATATCACATATAGACAGATCCCAATTGAGTACTCTAAGATGGTAGAATATAAAAAGCAAGAATTATCCGTTTGGAAGGTAAGTGAATAAAAGAAAATATAGAAGTTTTTTCCCATAGATGAAGTTACATACTGTCAAGAATGGATTAAAGTTTCTCTGTATCTTCACGCAATGGGAGGGATTTCTTTTTTTTACCTGGAAAATCAGAGTCCAGATAATGGATCATGCTTGGGGCCAATGAGTGGCAGACCCAGATAGGCCAGTCAGAATACTTCTCCTTCCTCTAATGTATTGCAATTTCTTTCTTCACTGTATCCACAGAAAAGAGCTTATTCAGCAAGCCTGGTTAGTGCCTTTTGTTTAAATTATTGGCAAGAACAATTTTTTTTAAGTCCAAAATCAAAATAGGAGTGCAAAATGAGATACAGTTTCTATTAGAAATGAATCTGATGACCTGAACCATGAAACTAAGAAGATAAGGTTGAACAGAAGGATGAAAAAGTTGGTCAAACAGTTTACCTAGTTAGTCTACCTCTGTTAACTGCTCTCAAGAGGGTTCTAGAACATTGTCTGTACTGAGTAGACAGAAATTCTCTGCGTTATTTAATGGAGATTCCAGTTCCAAGGCCCGTGAGCAGAGGGAAATGAAACTGTTGAAATAAAATATCTGACATTTCAAGACAGTTAGATAAAGATACTGTTTAGTGTGTCATGTTTAGAGAAAAACTCCAGAGTTCATCAAGTTGCAGAAGTATCTTTTTGGCCTAACCATTAGTGATAAAGCAGGAGCTAATTTTCTCTGACAGAATTTAATCAGAGAATGAATGATAAGATATCAAGTGTATTTCATTATTTGTCTAACAAAATGGGCCATTCTGGTGTATTTTGAAGGTAGAGGTTTAACTTGTAAAAGTAGAAATAGTGTAGACAAAATTAAATGTTCACATTATAGCAAGTTTGTGGTTTTTGGTACAGGTGTTAGATCAGATTCAACAGAAAATCAAGGTCATTAATGGAAAGAAGATATTTTTCTATAAAGATGGAAACTATTCTACAGATAGCTTCGTTATCATATAAGGCAAAGAAAGGGAACTGGCAGAAGAGAGCTAAAATGACCTCATAGAAAAAACTTCTGTATGAATCAAACAATGTACTAGCACAGAGTTTTGATAACCGGATTTGTTGATGAATATTTTACTGGCTCGAGAATCTCCTTAGTCCTTAATTTGGAAGACCTCAATGAGCAAGTGTTTGTTCTTCAAATCATATCTATCCACAGCACTTCTAATGTCATGTAAATCATAAATTCAGCATGTAAGGGTTCTTGTAGAAAAAGCAGAATCTCAAATACTGATGAACTGGAGAATACTATTATATCTTTTGAATTGGTCCTTATAAAAAAAAAATAAATAATGCAAAATACTTCGGATATCGAAGATTTTAGTCTCATAGGCAAATAAAAATCTTTTCTCCATTTTGGTATGAGATTCTGTTTGGTTTATTAGCTTTTGTGCAGCATGTGTCTGTATTTGGCTAGAATGTCATATGCAGTCAGCAAACTGGAACATCAGTAGTGCCTTGGGAATGAGCTTGGTTATACTAAAATTCCTTGTATTCATTTTTTGTTTTGTTTTTAACTTTAGTCAGGCTCTCAGGGATAAAATGACTAAGTAAGAATCCAAATAATTCATAATGTCTCATGAGTTGAAGAATGTTTCATTACGTAAGGATGGCTTTCCTTGGCTCTGAATAGGATTACCCAGTGATCACTCTATTAGATGAAAATGTCTGTGATAGATTTTTCCAATGGAATTCAATTTACAGACTCCCAGGTAACCTGCAGCAACTGTAACAATTTTACCTGGCCAGTGAGAGATTGTGCCAATTTATCTGGAAAAAATATTTCCTTAAAAGTTGATAGATATTCTCCTTGTATCTTGTTTGGAGACTAGATACATTGGGTACAGTGAACAGATGCAGTAACATGTGTATCACTGAGGATGATCAATGATTACTTCCTTCTGCATGATTGTTGAACCCACATCCACATCTTGGCACCAAAGTTCCTGCCGCAAGATCAAACTTTCAAACTATGGTATTGTCAACTGGATGATTCTCATCTGTAGCCAGTTCTTTAGCGTACTTGGTCCTGTTTTGCTATTCCCAGACCAGTCAAATTCTTCTCCTTTCCCACTTGGTAGCTTGTATTTAGATACAGTTCTGATGATAGGCTGTTTTTTAACTTTAAAATTCTAAAATGTGAAATTGCTTATTTATTTCCTCTAGATTTGGTAAATTAAGGATTAATCTCTCCTTCCATGAAGGATGGGCAGAACAGTATATGTTTTTAACTAGGAGTTATCTGTTGGGATTGTAAGTGAACAAAATCTGTGAGTGTTCCAGATGATTTACCTGGAAAAAGTTTACTTTGTCCATTCCCTAATGGTCTGAAGGAATTTGAGGAAAAAGTTAAGACAGAGCCCCACTTACTGATTTCCAGTTACAATGTTGTGTCTGGCTGTCTGACTTTTGATGAAGAGGAAGAGGCTGTTGATGGAAGGAGCTGGCTGAATTATCTACATTTCTTAACGAGAAAAAGTCATAACTATGCTGAAGGTGGGCAGAAAAGGGTTTGAAAACTCAGATTATCTAAGAAGGTCAAAATATTATTTGGTTAAAGTGAGCCTTAGTTACTTTGAATTACAGTCTTCCTAAAATAAATAGTAGTTGTCATCATCATCTACATTCCCATAAGCTCAGAGAGAATGAAACAAAATTTTATATTACTTTTATTTTTAATAAATCTAGGGAAATTAAGTATCAGTTTTGACCTGAAACAATTCTGCTAAGTTTTGTAAAGTGGCTGCAGCTTGAAGCAGTTAAAACCCTTTGGATTCAGGTGAATACTTTTTTAATTTTCATATCTGTTTCACAGAAAAATATTTAATTTCTTTCATCATCCGTGGAAGAAATATAGTAAATGCATCAGTTATGTACAGTATGCCATAATGCCTCACTATTTACCTTGAGGAGGAATTTAGTCTCTAAGCCTACTGACTGCTAAGATTGTTATGGTAGTATCTGTTGTAATAGAAGCAATCCAGGAGCACCCAGCACAGCAGGCTTTTGTACATTGCATAGCGACATATTTTTGCAATAATTTGTTGAGTTAAAAATAGAATATTTCTATCTACCCCAACCTTATTCTGAAATTGAATAATCTTTGGCTTCAGAATATATATTATCACATGTTTTTTCACACTCTGTGGTAAATAGGTTTGAAGCACTTGTAGAAAAGCATGATTTTGCTAAAATATGTGTATCTGAAATGCAGGAACTGAGAGATGGTCAATATTGCCATGTTTTCATGGCAGTTAATTTTTGTTATTGGTAATGGTGTTCCTATGCTGA